ACATTAACCTTGATATGTAGTCACATTTGCATCTATCGCTGGCCTCCAGTAGGATTCCATCCATCCATCCATCCATCCATCGTCAAATCGCTTATCCTGCACGCAGGGTCGCGGGGGGGGGGGGGCTGGAGTCTATCCCAGCCAACTTCGGGGGAGAGACGGGGTACACCTTGGATTGGTCGCCAGCCAATCGCAGGGCTACACAGAGACATACAACCATTCACACTCACATTCATACACCTACGGGCAGTTTAAAGTCCCCAATTAACCTGATCCCCAGGGCATGTCTTTGGACTGTGGGAGGAAGCCGGAGAACCCAGAGAGAACCCACGCAGACACGGGGAGAACATGCAGACTCCACACAGAAAGGCCACTGGGTGGAGTTGAACCCAGGACCTTCTTGCTGTGAGGCGACAGTGCTAACCACCACGCCACCGTGACGCCTCCAATAGGATTACTTATGGAAAATATTATTTTATTCATGCTTTAAGCTAACTGTAAATTAGATAACTGCTTTAATTTAAGAGTAAATTAAAAACTCCTTTTGCACCATGATGCCTTGCTCAGTGTAGAGTTAAATAGTTGGCTTTTCTTTATGGATTTGCTCTTCACCAGATTAATCTCAACTGGCCAGCAGTTTTGATGCAGATCCTGAAACCGTTGTGAATGCTGTACCACTAAACTGTGTAATATTGATCCAACACGTTCACTGTATCAACTTGAACACTCAGGTACACTGAAGCTTATCAAATCACCAAATGTCTTAGTGCAACACGGTATGTTGTAAACACATCTACGTCTTAATCTCTCCCAAAACTGAATGTACAATAGAAAAACTGTGATTTCACAACCGAGCCCTTCACGCAAGGAGCTTTTCTAAATCCTGGTCAAATGCTTTGAATTCATGCTGTTCTTATGTTCACTTACAAGTTGCAGGAAAAAAAGCTTCGATGTGTTATTCCTTCCCTCCACAGACTGAGCGAATCACGCTCCTTCATATGCCGCTCTTAAATCCGGACTACACGCATGTCTGGATTATTGCAGTATCCGCAATGTACATATTACGATGACTGTGCCATTACAAGTGTTTTTTTTCTCATCTGTAAATCAGAGAACTTAGAATGACAAAGTTGCAATAAAGTTTACATTTTCTTACTTCACTTGGAGTAAATTCGGTTCTTGCGTATTTTAAAGAGCAATGAACACAACGCGGCAGCAGGCGGCCTTTTTATTTGTGATATTTCTTCCATCCATATCAGTTTGCACATGGACATGCTCTCGTGTGTGTGTGTGTGTGTGTGTGTGTGTGTGTGTGTGTGTGTGTGTGTGTGCGCGCGCGCGCAAGGCTCCTGTTATTAACACCCCACCCTCTTCCGTCTCCCCATGTCAGAAAGTCTACGCTTTAGACTATATATCCGCGAACACGCTGACGACTAATATCTCCACTAATTCCACTTAAATCTAATAAAAGTTATTTGTAGATGGGTTGGGCGGTGAGAGAGATCCCTCAACCTCCGCCGGGCTTCTCTTGCTTACCTTTCTGTCCTGCCCCCCATGGCCCCAGGCCCTGCTCCTTTAGGGCAGTCAGACAGGTGCAGCGGGCCGGCGTCGGCGGAAGGCCTCCGAGCTGACCCCTCTCAGTTTACACCCTCGCCTGAATCACTTAGAAATCCGGGGTGGGGGGGGCAGTTCTCAGCCCGATAAAATGCGTAAGGTCTACTGTGGCTCCACGGTTTTGTGAGGTGATGAAGTTATAGTATTGAAGTCCGGGAGGTCAGCGGAGAGCTTTGTGTGACCTTCGCCGCTCTAAACCGTTTAATGCAGCTGCATTTTCACGTCCCTTTTAATCTGTGTGGGATGAATTAGTCTACATGTGGTTGATATTGGTACTTTATCCTCAGCAGGTTTTTTTTTTTTTAGGTCCGCTTTAATGTGAAATCGAGGCACAATAACACAATTCTTTCCAGAAATCTTGCGGTCCAAGACATCCACCCTTAAACTAACATTTAGCAGCAGGACACAATTATTTATTTTTTTCCCCCCTCATTCAATGATTCAACATGTATCATTCAACCCAATTACTTTGGGAGCATAACAAAGCCACGTCCAGCAGTGCAGGAAAAACAAATTGTTCTGCCAAATCCCAAATCAAGAATGACACAAATGATCTAAATGCAGCAGCTGCAATGAGAACAATGTAACTTGGCTAGCAGGGAAAACAACCGCAGAGAACGGGAACGATCAGCGGCTGAAACGGGGAAACATTGGCTCCCCGCTTTTCTCTGAGAGTGTTGTGGGACAAGTGGTAGATGAATTAAACTGGTGACAAGCAGAGGCCGCGGATCTCTCCCGAAGTCTACTTTTAGAAAGTGCAAGTCAAGGTTTTAGGTTTCAGTGTCTGCTCTTTAGTGAATGTTTTTTTTTTCAGCTTGCCAATTAAGCAAACAATGTAAAAGGCTTGTTTTCCAGATGGCAGCCGCTGTATGGATCCGTCATTGCATTGTGCTCTAAAAAGAGGGGGGAGGGCCCTTACATTTGATTCCAATGCTAATCAAACATATCTTACTGTACAGAAAACAAGGATACATAATAATATTTAGATTAAAACATGGCAGGCTTTGAAATTGAACCGTCTCCTCAGGAAGCCAAACTGCAGGCTCCCGGAGTTGATGAGGAGTAAGCAGACCTCAGGAATGTAGTTCTGAAACGTTAGCCTGCTATCGGAAGCCAAAGGCAGGGCGACATCAGGGCGGAGGCGCTATTGTGTGTGTGTGTGTGTGTGTGTGTGTCTCTGCCCAAGTGGAAGACAGGAGCTGGAGAGACGTTCTCTGTGAAAGTTAAGACTTATTAATACACCCAGAGACGGCGCTGGCTGCCGGGTGCCGTCCACTCGAGCCCGACCACCTGGCCAGCGTCCCTTTATTTAAGAAAAGACGCAGCCAAGAGGAAAGTCCTCATTTTTGCAACAAAACGATTTACACGGACAAGGAGACCGGATTACAATAGACATGACCACATAGAGAGAATCAAGTTACAACTCATACACGCCCAAATACTTCAATATTCAGAATGCCATGACATTGTGGAGTTATTCAGAATTTAAGAAATACTTACACAATGAGTTTTTCTTATAAATCAGTGATGTGGATATATGAAGACTAGGTTCGTAAAGGTCAATAATGGGTTATCTACAACAGTATGTGTAGATAATTACATCACAACAGCCTTTAAAAACCAAGGAAAGACAATGCAGTCCCATGTCAGGGTGAATATCATATCCATAACATGCCTGGCTATTTGCACTCACCTTTGCCTCATTGCTTTTCAGGGAGGCATATTGTCACGTTTCATGAGCTAAAGGCTGAAGAACATGGAACATATGCTAACAAAATGAGAAACCAGCCAAAGGCTCCAAATTTGTGCAGGAATTTATTGCAGTGGCATTGTGGAATGCTTTCAGCTTTCAAGGATTTTGTGCTTGAGAACTAATCATCAAAGCTGCCAGGATTTATTGATCAAAAATGTCTTGTCCACACATCAGTTGTCATTAATGGAGGCGACGCAGTGCATTTCTTCCTAAAAGTTAGGAAATTATAAGAACGGATAAGAAAGAAATACACTCAGCAGTGATTCAGCTGTCTGACATTCATTTTATTGTTAAAACTCAGTTTTGGTATACCAGCTGCTTGTCTTTTTACACCACCTTTGAATTAAAAGGCAAACATGTACAGCTTCATCTTCAAAAAAAACATGCAGTGTCAACATGAAGTTTACTGAGAGTTAAACAACTTCAACATAACTGCAAAGTCTGTGAGAATAAAACTGAACAAAAACTAGGACAACTAGGTGGTCTCTTCTACGTATTTTATCAGCAAAACTTCAAGTGCCACATTCAGTTGATAAATATGAATTTTGTTTTAATAATAAAGAAGTTAAAACCTTGAAAATAAATATGAACTGGCAACATATACATAAAAGAAATGCATTCCTACATGACGGCCTCTCTATACCTGCACTGCTAACGTATTAAACAGACAACACAAGCTAGGAAGCTCTGCACCTCCTGTTGAAACAACCAATGTTTACTGACCAACTATTTGCTCATAAAGTGTACAAATTCATGTTGATCTGACAATAGGCTACCAATGCATTTGGGGATTGGTTAGTTTGGACTAAAGGACCCGTCATGGAGTGCACAATGGAGTTTAAGTACTGTTAAACCACTACTCTTCTTTTTGAAACACAAGAAAAACTGGAAAGAAAAAATAAACGCCGGCCCGAGAACTTTGACATCGACCACCCTGGAAACACCTCCCGTCCTCCCGTCCTCCCACAGCAGACTTTAAGCACACTGGGATCTCACGGCATCACACCATCTTGTACTGTTGCAACATCAACTAATCTTGCAATGCCGCAGCCAGCGCTCCAGAGTACAAGGCCAAGTTAAAAATAAACCTGAGTATGAACATGACAAACACAATGTGCCTTTACGCCACATCACAAGATCACAGCAGCTTCCTGATCCATTGATCGTCTCCCTGTCGTCTTTGTTGGTATCCAGGTCGTCACAGTCAGATTCAAGATCAAGAGCTGAATCTTGGGGATTCTCATTAATGCAGATCAACTGTTTTAGTCCTTCTGGCCTCCGCAGGTACACCATTCCGAGACACAAGTGCTCAACAACAACTACTCCTGCAGTAAATCAGACTCTCTATTTAAAACTGAGCCATACGAAATGAATAGACAGCATGCAACATGCAATTAGTTGACGATATTGAATATCACATTTGCTGCAATTGGAAAGGAGAAACCAACTAAAAGAAGAAAAAAAATAATAATATAGTTAATCGGATTTTTCAAAACTGGGGCAGAAACTAGTAAAATATTGCACCATCAACTTGAGAATGCGATTTCAATATTGGATGATGCTAATGAATCTTTTCTGACATTATAGTACGTTATTGTGGTAACACAGACGAGAGCTCAAATTTCCCCTTCCCTTCCTACATCGGTGGGTCACCAAGGCACCCATGCAAACAGTCCTGCCAATAAAACCCTTTAACGACGCACTGTACCCAAGAACACCAGTATCTCACCCTGCCTATACATACAGTACTCTTAACGGCACCGCCAACAAATTGACAAAAAATCTCAACCATTCTTAATTCAATTAACCCTAAATCCAATATTTGATTCTGTACAAACCTCAGAAAGAATAGATTCCTTGCTAAAAACTACTTATGTCGTCTCCACGCTTGGAGAGGGCTGATCACTGGGTTTTCTTTTCAAGCTGGAAGAGACCCTTTATGTCGAGCATGGCCTGTCGGATGTGGCCGCTGAAACGGTGAGAGTCCTGAAACAAAAGACACTTGTTGTCACTTAAAAAGATACTTCTTCAGACACTAAATTATGTAAATTCCCTTTGCAAAACAAACTTACAGTTTCGGGGCTTGAGTGTTTGCTGGAGATGTGGAAGTTGATCAGGTTCTCCCCAAGGATGATGTAAGAGACCCCGTAACCATCATCAGCCACCTTTAGGACGCAGGAGGAAAGACGTGAGACTCATTGAGAAAAACTAGATCTTTTTAATCTAGATTTCCAAAAGGCTAGAATTCATGACATGAAAATACATTCATGACGCCAGATGAACAATTAATCAGTGTTTGAGCGCCTATCTCTTAGTGAAGACAAAACAAATATGCAGCGATCTATAAAAAGGAAACAATACTCAACAACCACCTGCCAAAAAACAAAAAACTCCCATCGCAGTTGACGGCTGACTTACTGGACCGAATCCTCCTCCAGCAGAGACATACTCGGGGTGTCTGACCAGATCGAACAGTTCCACTTGCTGCAAGGGCGTCTGACTGGTGGACAGCCTCCACGGCTCAGACAGGACCTGCACATGGAGGCAACGCACATTTAGTCCTCCGGGTATCAGCCTGACTGACACATTCCTTTCTATACATCTCAAAGTCAATGGCAAGTTAGAAAAGAATGAACCGATAGCGCGTGTGTTTCAGGTGAGAAAACGTGCCTCTTTTGGCGTAGTCAAATATGGCTGCTTTACATTGTTATACAAGAAGCACCCAGAGTGCGATTTATTTGCTTACAAAAATCCGTAGAAGTCTACTTTGCGCGTGCGTGTGTGTGTGTGTGTGCCTGAACTTAACGGGCCCGTGTATTTAGGAGTGAAACTGAATCCATATTAGGTAATGCTGGTAACTTATTTAAATGATGCAGTCCTGGACCAGCTTCATTTCAACCACACTGTTACAAGGATATTATTCCAGTAAATTCAAGTAGGCTTAATTTAGTCCAAACTAAACAGCTCAACAAACTCTGACTTGTAATGAGGTCGGGTTTAGCATGTTCACCAGAAAGAATCCATGAACCGACCCCCCTCTTATGATTTTTACCCCATCACAGGAGGAGTTTGTCTGCCAGCTGAGAGTTGACCTCATGACATGAATCGGATGATTAGTGAATACATTTAGGATTTCCTTCATAATTATATAACACGTTGATATTCTGCCACATATTTTTTCTACTGCGATTATCCTTTAGTGCATTTTCCCGCTCAGTAGCAAACGGTTTGTCCTGGTGGCTTCTGGAAGGCCACTTTTCATCTTTGCGTAGCGTGACTAGATGCCCTTGGACCTAAGCCACTTTGTATTGTTGTAGATCAAGTAACCTTTAGAGCCTTTCGTTGCAGCTCGAAGAGCAGAAATGTAATAACTTGTGTCAACACCTCGTACCTCCTTGAGGAAGGGCGAGTCCTCGCCGAGGTATTTGGACACCACATAGAGGCAGAAAAGGTGGCGATCGATGCCCTCTCCGATCATTGCCAGGCGGTACATGTTTTGGTGCTTCTCCGCGGCCTGTTTGAGCAGTCTGAGACACTCGTCTCTCTGAAATGGACAGCAGAGAGGCAGGTTAAACCACCAGAGAGTACGCTGGATGGACAGTCAGCGACTAAAAGTAGCGCTCTAATTGTAGTTGAGGTGTGTCGCAGCCGTTTAGCCTCACGGTCTCTCCTTTGATCATGGCACGGACGAAGGCACACGACTCTGACGTGCAGGAGCGCACGGTTTCCGTCCGGCCCTCGCGGAACAGACGCGTCATAGAGGCCTCGTAGGTCAGACAGAACTTCTTCTTGTCCTGTTGAGATATAGCGTGGATGAGCAGCTATTTTCAGAGTCAAACGATGATCATTGAAATGGCATACATTAATGCAAATTATCAACAAAAAGATGTCAACTTACTGCTCCATTCATTTTATAATCAAATAACCTCAAATTTAAATGGAAATAACCTCAAACAAAAGCTGAACAAAGTTCTGGTTAAATAAGGTCTTTAATGACACGTCGATGGGCAAGTTTAGACTGCTCTCTGCTGGAAATTGAGAGGAATCACTGGGGTGTGTTGGTCGTTATATTTACAAGCAAATGCTAAGGCAACAAAATCAATTAAATAGGGGCATCGATCTGTTATCACTTAGAAACCGGTGTATTCACCCTGTAATGGGCCAGCTGCAGGGCGATCTGGATGAAGGCATCAGGACTGGTGCGGCACTTCTTTATCAGACCTTTGCCAAAGTCACTGAAGGGCATGATGTGAGAGTCCACGTCATCAGCCAGAGTCCTGGCTACTTTCAGAGAGCTCTGGATGACCTCCTGGCACTGGAGGAGGTGACAGTCACAGTGTTAGACAACACACTGATGAAACAAATTAAAAGAGCTCAAATTAAGAAAGAATGTACATCAGCGACATTTCTAGATTTATGGCTCAACGCCAGTTATTGTCACTTTTTGAATTTACGACACTCACTCGCTCGCTCTTTCTCTTCATTTACTTGAATTCTAGGAGTAAAATACCAAGAAATGAGGGACATAGTTCAGGCTACCAGCAGAGGGAAACCAAGGCCAGTGAATATCAAATCCCAGCTGGTGGTACGGTTCATCGGTTTGGGAGTCAGACTAAAAGACCTACACACAGCCTTCTTGACAGGTCACAAGCACCTCACATAGCGATTGTCTACATGGGCAGAAGTGAGCAAGTAAGCAGGATTTTAACTTCTTTCTCCTTCATTTCTCACACATTGATGGCCGTGGTCAACGTTGTCATTCAATCATGCCAGGAGAGCTTAACTGTCACGTCCGTAAGGGGATCAGATTCCCGCGTGTCTGAGCGAGGACAACCTCCTCAAACTAACTTTGCCACATATAAAACGTCACACAAAATGATGTCAAATGGGTGTTTTGCTTTTTACTGCAACACTCTAGCTTAATATACTTTTTGATTATAGGTCTGGCCTTTTATCTTATTTTGGCTTTTTAGAAGTTTTTCACCAATAAATCCTCCGCAGATTGTCATCAGCAGGAGTTCATACAATTTGATAAGTGCTCTCTAAAAAGGCCGATCAAAAAAAAGACGATGAGATGAAGCATTGATTGCAAATTTAAAGGTGTACAACACAAATGTATCCGCCAGTAGGTGTTTTCCCAGAGATGTCTCATCACACCTGGCCGAGTGATGCAAAGCCTGTATGAACAGCTCAACTGGTTAACCAAAGGTTCATTTTAGCGGTTAGTTAATTAGAATAATCCATTGACAACCATGAATAAAGAGTTGAAAAACGTTCTCAGTTAACAGCTACCTTTCCAACTCGACAAGATTTAGCCTTGCTGTGTTCCCGGAAAAAACTTTGCATAAACTTGTTCTTTTTGAGCATAAACGCCATCGTTACCTCAGCCGGGATGTCCCACGACAGCTTCTGAGGACCAGGCAGGTTGGGGTGGGGTTCCCCTTTGCAGTGACCTGCCTCAGTGTATCCCAACTTAATAGGGTCCATGGAAAGAACATGCTGCAACGCAGAGTCACACAACATTACTGACTAAAACATGAAATGTAGATATCCCACTATTGTGTCTGAAATGCCTTGATGGACATCATGCCTATCAGAATATAAATACACTATTAATAAAGCCAATTTTCTTATACATAGTTAATTTCTATTTACATAGATAAAACCATAGTTTGTTGTGTTTATGAAATACAAAAAGAATAAAATTATTATAATTGTTATTTACAGTGACAGAATACCACCCCAAACTACAAGATAGGAGGAGTTCTTTAAAATATTCTCCACTGTGCAAGAAATTAATGAAAATAACAGTTTTTCTTTTACAAATAATTTTGTGGCGAGCTAGTTAAATACAGTCCTTGTTGGTTTCTTTTAAAATACCCAAAAAGTACTCTTTTTTTTTTTGTGACATAAAATGCTTAAAAGAAGAAATCAATAACATTAGATAAAAACATTGATGTACCTCCCAGAGATGTCCGACGATTGGAGCATCCGCCCAGGAATGCTCCGCATTCAGTCCCATGGTGCCGTTCTTATAAATGATCAGGTTAAAGGATTTATCGAACCATCTGAATGGGGGGGAAAAAAAGCAGAAGAATATACACATATATTTTATATATGAACTCTTATAATGATCGCATACGCTATGGGTGTCCGCCCCACCTGTCGTAGCACTTTCCGTGGAGGAGGGACTTTGCGTAGCTGACCAGAGACTGGTCCGGGTTGTCCGATTCAAAGCGCTGCTCGGTGTCATCAAGGGTCACGCAAAAGGCCGCCTTCTCGATAGCGTCCAGAGATTGCTTGTTCTTACCACGACTGAAGTAGGTTTCTCTGGCGTTGGCCCACGGGGTCCTGCAGAGTAACAAATAGTTTATTTTTTAAACTGTTATCAATTACAGCTGAATATCAGACAATATGTTTTAACATTATCAAAATTCTAAAATATTGAAACTTTGCGCTATAAAGTTGGGTCAGTCCTAAGAACTGACTATCGACCCTCCAGATTCCCATTAAAAAAATATGTTGCTGCTGTTGACGCCATAAACGTTAAAATATAGGAATATTACTTTATTTTATAATGAAGGAATAAAGGAATATTCCTTTTTTTTAACCGTTAATATGCCTGCTTACTCAGATAATGTCGCAATTCTTTTTATTAAAGTTATTTTTCACCGTTAAGGATATTCCATCAATTAGCAACACACAGCAGTGCTGAAACCAGCAAACATCAGAAAATTACTAAATCTGGTGGGAAAATAGTTTTTTTTTTTTAAAACTACATTTTTGAAACCAGGGCTCTAGATTGAAAGACGGTACTACAGACTGCTGCTTGAATGATGTAATGGCTTCCGGAAGTTGTGTTTTTAATGGGTTGCAATGGGGAGGTTTTGTTCTTAAGGGGTGCAAGTGTTTTTTTAAATAAATAAATAAACTTCCTGTCGTGCTACACTGCATGTTGTGAATGGTGTGGCCTCAAAAGTACTGGCTGCAGCTGGCTCTGTAGCGCCACCCACCTGTCCCCTGCGGTGAGTGCAGCTAGTTTCTCCTCTCCCGGCATTGGCTCAGTGGTGTCGGCCAAGATCCTCGCCATCTGCTGCTCGATCTCCCGTGGCAACAGCAACCGCCCGTCATAAAACATCCACACCTTGAAGAAACGGCCCTTGTGGTACACGGCAATGTGTTTGCTGTCGTTCACATGCTGAAGGATGTCTGGGAGACCGAGAGAGAGGGAAAACGGAGAAAGAAAGCAAATTGAGGCGTCGTGGCTGATGTCACGTGTATTTTGGGTCCTCATTAAATAGTAGATGATTAAAATCTTAATGAAGGCAGCAGCTTAAATGGAACGTGGATGTCACAGCATTTGATTTCTAGGAACAGTCCAAGTGTTAGTAACCTGATCTGGGTCCCAGCTGTGAAATACTGCGATATCCACAACATACATTTTTGTCAGTTGGTACTTTTATTTTTTGGGGCATCCTTCGTATATCAAAATGAAGGGCAAAGACATGTAATGAATCAAAGATGACACTACATGATGGGAGAGAATACTGTCCAGTTCAAAATCTAAAAACAGCTTGAAAATGGATGTGCGGAAAGGGAGATGAAAAGAGAAAGTAATTTGGGAACAGGGTGGTGGTTTGGGATACAATGAAACAAGGCAATGTTTGTTTGAACAGCATTGAGCACAACCAGCAAAAAAAAAAAAAAAAATCAAAAAACATCACTTGCATCTTAGAATATAAAATAAGTTATGATGACTCTTTTGGAGTTGCTCTGGGATTCAAACAAGCATTGCTCTAAAATCACAGGGAGGACAAAAAGGAGGGGATACTTACAAAGGGACCAACTACCACCTCACATCCAGGTAATACTTGGCCTACACCTCCAGCAATATCAGTATACATATACGGAACTGGCTTTGGAAATTTAAAAAAGAGATCATTTGTATTTAACTCTTCTAATTTAGCCCACTACAACGTGTCGGGTGAACTGCAAACTCACATCATAAAGTCAAATATGTAACTGTAGAGATTTTTCCTAAATATTTTGCTAAACTTAAAATGAATGTTCAGATGTCACCACAGCTCAAGGTCTTCGTCCCAAGGCTTCCGGCTTTGATACTAAACAGATGGTTTGCGCCTCGGTTCCTGGACTGAGGGTTTAATCCTGCATTAAAAGTCCTTTCCAACACTCTCTCCTTGCCATGGTGCTGCTGCAGCAGAATGGCTTTCTGCCCCTACAGAGGTCATGTATTGATTTTAGTCAACGCTAAACTATGACCACCACCCAAAAGTAATAATAATAATATTAAAATTATGCCATGAACACATACTGAACTGTATGTGAAAACGAAGACACATGCAAATTAGTCCTTCAATGTGCATAGACCTTCACACATGCATTAATTATTCATGGAGGTCAGACTATCTCTAATTCAAAACACAATCGACAAACGTCTCAAGGGGAAGTACAGTAGGAGTAGTGCGGAGGAGGCGGCACTGCTAAAGACTCTACCTGTGTCTACACCTGGGACACGACTGCTGTTGAACATAGACTCGTATTGGGCTGAGCACATGGGAATAGTGTGTAGGAGCATGAGCTGAAAAGCAAAAGGGTAGAGTCAAACACAGATGACAAACTAATTCACAAATATCCCCTGGAGAGCGCAGCAGACACACACCTACACAGAGAGGAGAATGGATGAAGGGAGGAGGGCCATGAGGATCGGTTTGATAAGCAGTCTCAAGGAGGAAAAAAAGGGACCCGAGGAGGCTTCCAGGGAAGGAGAAACCAAGTGTCTGCCGTCTCAATGCCACCATCAAAGCCCCGGGGTCATTTTTGACTAAAACGTCCGTTTTTCACATGTACACTTACACAAATTTGAACATCTCCCAGATAGGCTAACTCAGAGGCCTTCAACGTTTTTCAAGCCAAGGTCCCCCAAACTGATTGCGAGGTGGAGTAGGGACCCCCTACGGAGTTTGGTCCGCCATCTTTTATTTTTGAGCTTCACGCTCTTTAGACGTGAGCATAAACGCGATCTGATTGGCTGGTGCCTGCGCTGTCGTATTCGCATGAAAGGAGCAGTGAGTGAACCGGTGCCCAGCTTGAGAGCTGCTGTGGGAAGCTAAGTGTGTGTGTTGCGGACTGACAGATAACGTCTTCTCCATCAATTTATCCGCTGGCTTCAATATGTTGGATTCATGTTAATGTGTATTTTAAGACCATAAATAAAATTCTGATTCTGAAGACATTTACATTTGTGGGGGGAAAAAATTGTTTTAAAAAATTGTCTTATCAACCAAAAATTTCGCGACCCCCCCTGCAGTACCTTCGCGGACCCCCTGTTGAAGACCTCTGGGCTAAGTGAACAAAAAGCCAATGAGAAACAAATCAGGGCTTTGCTGATGAGAATGAGACGGGTAGTCGGGGGGTTTGCCATTGGCTGTTGTGGCACCAGCAGCTAGGGTCACCGGGGTGGGGGCGGGGGGTTCAGAGGGCATGGTGGACACGTGCCCTCTTCTTACCTGTCTCCAAACCAGGAACGCGGGTGGTGTTAAACATCGGCTCCCATTGAGCCGAACACAGAGGAACCTTATTCGCCAGCAAGTAAATCTAACGCAGCATCCGGCGCAGCAAAGGGACAAAACAGTAGAACAGAGACAACCAAAATGTGAGTGTGTAACCGAGAGAGCTCATGCATTGCTGTATAGTGCATACAATTGGTCTATGCAAGAGGTCTACTTGTATTTATGCACCATGTTGGAAATTGCTTGCAAGGATTGTGCAAATGTAAACAATCATTTGCATCATGCAGGTTGGTAAAGGAAAATTACTGAGGGAGGAGCGGGAGGAGAAGACACTGATGTGTGCTACTACCATCATTAGCAATCATTATAGCTGTACATGCATCAAAAACAGGCAAATATCACAGTGCTTGGCATATTCAAAAAAGTCAGTTAGTCACAGTGACCTGGGATGTTAAGATGCATCTACATTATCATTGGTGAGAGAACAAGCTAACTTTAAGACCACACAAGAAAGGGTTGGGAAAGATAAGCCACTTTGGTGGTAGAGTGGAGACAAACAAGCTATAAATCAATGAATAAGAAATGTGAAAGTCAAACAGGGACGAAAGGGCTCTCTACTCACTGGTTTGATCTGGGCTCGGTCCAGTTTTCTCCTGTAGAGCATGATGGCATGGATGGCGTTCCCTGCTCGGGCAGCCTGGATAGAGGTGGGGAACACGTACAGGAAATCCTGGGGGGACAAAAAAGGAGATTTAGAAAGGGTATGAATAAATAAATAGCATCCTGCAGCCTGCTAAGGACACAAGATGACTGCAAACTGAAGAGCAGCGTGAATAAAATGTTCTTTTGTGATTCATAGATTCTTTGTTGTCATTGTGGTTGAGGACTGTCCCCTGCCGAGGTCAATGGGTCCGTGATCGTAATTGTGACCGAGATTCAGGAGGAACGAACCTGCCCTCCGGTAAAAGAGACAATGCAATACAGTGATGCAGCTTTGCCCTCTGAGACACAGATAAACAGGGTTGTGCTGCCAATTGAGTGTGTGCGTACCGTACACGGAAAAACATTTGACACCCAACTTTGCATATCGATCACACACACAAGGTTTGACAAGTGCTAACGCAAACTAATTTTTAGAAAGTTCAGTTTTACTTAATAGACATATTTGTTTGTCCATATGTATGTAAGAGTTACAATTTTGTCCAAGCCGTGTGCGCCAGGGCCGTCATATGCCGTAAACATTTCTTAAGAGCTGATTTTACTTTAAGTAACTTGCAATATTGCACATCAATCTCATAGAGTGCCAGGAAGTGACATAGTTTCACTGCAGCTCTAGCTGATGTTTGGTTATAGTTTGTCTACACCTCACCACGCATCACAGCTTTTGGGGTCACACTTGGGAGAGAATGCATCATGTCTTACGTGGAGAGCCTTATGCTTTACAAAAAAAAGGCTGAGCGGTTGTTTGCTGACAGATAATCAGGTAGAGAGGACTCACCATGGCATAATAGTTGCTGTTGACCATGATGGGCCCACGGCCTCGAAGGTAAATATACTCTTCCCACCAATCACTGACCTGTGTAAGAAAGGGGGTTACATTTATTAACACGCCGTTTTTCAGATTAACAAACAGGTCTGTAGGAGGAGTAGAGGAGAGCAAAAGGGAGAGGAACTATGTGACTCACATAGTTGGAGGCCCACCAGGACTTGAGTTTGAGGTACCACTGCAGTCTGGGTCCTAGATTCTTCTCAAAGTCTTTGGTCAAGCCCTCCATGCGCTGGTACTGCTCGTCCTCCATCAGTGGACGCACTGACTCCAGGTACTGGTAACCCAGCAGTGAGTGAAGCAAAGAGTTGACAGTTTTAAACAAGGAGAGAGAGCCGATGGGTCAGAGTAACGTTCTCTATTTTTTTCCCCCCTTCTGACAGGAAAGAAAGTTTTTTTTAGGGCCTCTGCTATAATCCTCTAAACCAGGGGGTCGAATGGTCGATCACCTGGCACTAGGGGAAGAAAAAAAATCATGCCGCATGCACGGTCCCCTGAGGGAGCGAACGAAAAACTTGGTAGGTCTAATTAGCGATCATCGCTTAATAACGAACACATTTTACGTCATTCAAAAGCCACCCTGGCCAACTACAATCCGTGCACATCATCAGAGTAGGACGATCGATTTGTTTGGCGCAGACGCTATGCAGCTCTGTTGACTTTCATAAAATTGCAATATTTGGTTCCAGTCCAATTATTAGGACCATTATAACCAATAAGGAATGTGCACACAGCACTTCAGAGCTGAAGTGACAGTTGCAACTTACCCTTTTGCAGGTGTCCTTGATGGAAGGAACAGGGAGTCTCGGCAGGGAATTCTGGAAACTGTAGAGCATTGGCTTCCTGCCAGAGAACACCTTAACCAATACCTGGAAAAGAAGCACAGATAAAAAAGGGGAGGGAGTGGGAATGCAGAGTTACACATTGGGTTTTAATCTGAAAATGTAACAGGTGGGTTGAAATAAAAAGGGTTAGAACTTAGTCTTTCAATTGTTTCTTTGAGCCAACAGTCACTTGAATTTGGAATTTATCTAATATAAAAATAACTTCTATAGTCTGGGTATTTTAAGGCCTATGCAAAAAGGAAATAAAATGCCACCTGGGGAAATTCTGCCTTGACATTCCACCAGAAAGAACAGTGTCCAATACACACGCTTTCTAAAGTGAATTTAAAAGATATTTTAACTTGTGATTAATCTAGATTAATGCATTACAAAATGTGAGATTAATTAGTTTTAATCTTCCCTGCAGTGAACGGAACAGAGGAGCCCAGTCATGGTCTCACCATCCACAGACGAGTGGACCAGGCCACAGAGCCGTGGCTGGTGTACATCCAGCCGTGCCACGACAACAGGGACTTTAGGACACTCCTCATAATCATGATTATGGAGACCCACAGGCCTGTGCCCACCAGAACACCTCCAACTATCTTCTGGCTGTCAGTGGACATGTATCGACTGTGGACAGAGAATAAGAGGGGGGAGGAGAGGTGACGGGGGGTCAGATTGATCCAAGAGAGAGCACTGTAATAAGACTATGGAAAAATTAGACAATGAATGTCCTGTAATCAAAGGTCACGTAACCTCATGACTGATGAACAGTGCATGTTACTTACTTATGAAAGGCATTAACAGTTTACGTGGATAGTGTGTGCATAATATCCCTAAATACGAGGCGTGGTGGATAGTTAGTAGTTTATAATCTGTGAGTACACCAGAACTTTCTTTTGATCATGACAATAAAATGATATTGTGATCATGATATCATTAGCCTTACCTGATGGGCATGTGTTGACCCAGCTTGGCAATCAAGCCCAGAGAGGGATCCAGCTGTTGATACTTATTGTAGGACATGTAGGACACAACCACTACCATGAACCCACCAGGGCTGCCTGGGTACACACCAGTCATCACCCCATTCTGTGGAAAGGTAAACCAAAGCAAATGTCCGGGTCAACAAGTTAATAATCTATAAAGATTATGTTTTTTTTTTTTTTTTAATACAACAAGTGATTCATTAACACAGTGTTTACAGCCTTGATAACCCATGAGAGTAATCATTCGTGGTTATAAACAAAAGGGAAAATGCTGTCTTTCTGGGTTTGAGTGACTCGGAGTGACGGTGTGTAAACAGTAAACTAGGCCGAAGGTTAGAACGCAAAGAATAGACATGAAGGTCATCGACACTTTAGTCTGTTTCTTTAACCGTTAGTGACTTTCCAGTGTAGCGAATAAACCCATTTCAGTAGGCCAGTAACAGTAAATCAGTCAGACATAAAAAAAAGAAGAAAGTGCACAGAAACCCAGTGGACTTTGCTCTCCCATATGTCCAACGACGCTCACCTTGAAGCGAATGAACCTTTTCTTCCAGGAGTGCAGGCCAGAGAGGTAGATCTGGCGCAGCGCCTCGTGGGACAGCTGGAGGTCGATGCCATCGGGGGAGACGGTGAACTGAAAGGCCACCGCCTGGTGAGCTTCTGCCATGTTGGCTGCTTCCGAACAGGGTCACTGAGGGAGAGGAGAGAGACGGATGACACAAGTTAGTGAACAATACAATACAGCATAGTACGATATCCTCTCACTCATGTGGATGGCATTACCATCTTGTAGATACATCACGACATGAGTACTGACTGACAGCAAACAACGCGGTACAATTACTACATCCCAATATCTGGATGAGACTTTAAATATCGTCGTCAGGCAAATCTTACAACAATCTCTGATATTGACCAGCTCCTGTCACAGTTACTTGAAGTCAGAAGGCAATATTCCTTAACTGCAGTTTGCCAACCGCACTGCAGGTTGCCTAATTTACGGGATTTAAACCAGTTTAAGCTCTTTGTGGAAAGGAAGAGCGTACTATTATTGGCTCTAAAGCAACAAAGACGTCTGGTTAACCTCGAGTTGGACGCATAACACTCGGCTTAAAAGGACAAAAGGTGTGTAGGTTGAGATGCAAACCTGCTGCAGCACTAGAGGTATAAAGTGTCCACCAATGAAGTTTGGAGTCAAATTTCTTAGTTACAGTAGCCAGTATTGTAGTCGGCAAACAACCGTTTTGAGTCCCTGTATCATCTTGGTCTTGTTTGCTAAATATAGTTGGTCTCAATACAATCTCAGATAAATAAGTAATTATTGGACTATGGCTGAGAAAGTAATTTGTTGCCATGTGAGCGAGCGCACAAAACACAAAAGCAGTTGTAAGAAACATAACTGAAAACAGAAAAATTGGATTTTTTAAGTAGTACAGTTTCCCAAACGAACATTTGTGCTGCATTGTAAATGCTTAGTAACAATAATAATTATTAGCATTTTAATGATTACAAGAGCGGCATACCCTTTATGAATCAACAAGATATTTAGTTAATATATAAACTAAACTGCATGCAAAGGACACCAGGTAGTTAGTAACTCATTACTGAACTTTACAACCAAAGAGCAGACACAGTAAAAACATTTTATTCCAAACTACAAGCGCTTATTATTTTATATTTGCAAATTTTAAGTGAGTGATTAAATTTAAAATGTTGTCATGATATGGTAAGGGAGGGAGTGACAAAGGTCAGTTTACTGGGAACCGAGTTTAAATCTGCAGAGGTGACATCTTCGTTCGTTATTATCATCCAAGACCTTGAACAGTGCGAGAGATCTTAGCACACATTCTTCTTAAAAAAGGGAACTCAGGTAAATTACCTTGAAAACGAAACAACAAAAACAAAAAAAAGGGTGTGGGGGGGGGGGGGTCTGGTCTCCAACTCATATCCAATAATGTATATTTCTTATATTTTAATTGTATATGGTTTTTGATATTGTGATTCAATCGGTGTTTTTGTGTTGTGGGATTGTGAATCTGAGCTGGTAGCATTCCAAGTGGCTTGGCCATATATGTAACACGTCAGATGAAACGCACACCCAGATCAATACACTATAGAGGATATATTGATGAGCCTAGGAAAAGCTGCATACAATTGTATAACTGGGTTTGCAAGTATTGAGAAGCCTTTTAAACCTTCAAAATAACCAACATTTAGCATTATTTCTGGAGAAGGACCTGATTTTTTCAAGTTGCCTTCAATGGCTGTCGACAATTTAAAAGACAGATGATCATTCATTTAATGTAACGTAAAATGCCAAACAAAAAGTTGAAAAATGTCAAATATGACAGTTGTCAAATCCGTCATGAAACGGTAACGTTGGAATTGCCATCGCATGCGAATACTGTTCGCTTTCATTTTCGCCGAGACTGCTATCAGCGTGTTTCCATCCAAAACAAGAGCATTGTGGAAACCGTACGCGTCTCCGTTTGTGCTTTTTCAAACCCTCGGAAGGTGCACCGTGAACGCAGCACCCGTCAGCGGCAGCCAATCCCCTCCCCCCGCAGCTTCCCAACGTCACATGACCAGCCCCGTGCTGCAGGAACTGGGGGAAAGGTCGCAGCGCTGCGCGGATACCTGGTGAAGCTGCCAGCATTGGTCCTCACAAACCCTCCGATCTCCCCCCGCTGCTGTCACTGCGAAGCCAGCGGAAACATGTCATTTCTTTGCAATATCTTGGCTTTTGAGTTTGAGCCATTTCTGTACAATATAAGTTGAAGATTGCGAAGCCTGTCGGGGGTTTAATAATTTGTAATCCTCCCGGTTCGAGTGTATTATGATTATGGCCGCAAACGCCACACATCGACGCCATAAAGGGTGTTGCCAATTGTGATTATGAAACACTTCACCATCACACAAAATGCACTTCAAGGGAACTTTCATTTAGGTGTTTTATGAGGTATCCCGCCCACGTGGTCCGGAGGTGGGTTTAATATGCACCCTATACAATAGTTTATTTAAAGCTAAATAACCCGCGTTTACAGCCAACATCCAAATACACCAGGTGTGATGTCTCTGATTTTATGATGCTCTTACAAAAAACAAAAAAGGAGCCATGACCAATCAGATGAAACTGACCTTCACTAGCATGTGTCCTTCTCTTTACTATTACACATTCTAACCACTTGCTATATCCCACATCCTGTATTAGTATTGGACACAAAAACACATGCAAGTGTATTGTAAACGACAGCTGACAGGAAGCGTACTTGTCAAATGACCTCTACCTGGACTTTCGCCCACAGTCAAAAGCAACAATGCTAACCAGGTCCACACATGGATCGTGCAACAACAACAAAAAGAGGGAATAACAGGTTAAATGCGGAGGTACGGAGATCCAGTAGAAGCCATTATCCTCACAACCATGAATCGACGTCACGTGCGGGCGCACCGCCGCAGGAACGAAGTTAACAGCGAAAGACCGAGAAAGCCGCCCGGTTCTGTTAATGCGGCGCTGTGGGAATCTCCCGTAGTCACGTAAACACCGCACGGCTTTAAGCACGGGGCGGACGAGGAAACGAAACGAACGGACGCGGAATGCGGGGACATTAGGACGACAGTTGCCAAAGGGTTTCTTGTTTAGCTCGTCGACTTAGAAAACACATCATTTTTTTTAAATACAGCAGCCATCTTTGCTTAGCTTTCTCCCCCAAAACTGCCGAGTAACAGCCTGCGAAACGCAGAGAGAGGGTTGGGGGGGGGGGGGGGGGGCGTATCACTCACCAACCCTTCCAACTGGTCTGAGAGAACTCTCTGTTCCGTGGACGATGCTCGCTGCTAGAACCTCCGCATGAATGAGAGCACCGACTCGTACACACACAGCCTGCCCCCTTCTTCTTTCCCTTTTTTTCAGTCGAGTGGCGCACAGAACGCGCCCGGGAGAAACAGCGCCCCCCATGAGGCCGCTCGCGGTACTTCATGTTTCTGTTCTGTCGAACGAGGTTTTGCGCGAGGGCTGGACATGACGTCACGGATACCAGTACACACGTTGGTCCATGTACTCCTGACCACTGAACCGTGGGCATAACATTGACTGTGTACACAAAGCCGATGAAGTCCAATTTTGTGTGAGCCGTGTAGACAAAATGCTCTATCTCGTTTTTAAATCTCAACTACGTTTAAGGTGTAAACATTCAACGCTCCAGTTACGGGGAGGGGACATTTTTTAATGCAACACCTGCGCAAAAGACTGGCCCCGAATATTCCGCTTGCATGTTGAGTTTTGTTTAACATTTTACTTATTCTATTTCTATCTCTTTTTTGATCCTAAAACTGGAGGTTTAATTGGCTCACGACACCGGGCGACGTGGGCCCAAGGGATGCCTCAGAGCAGACAGGGAGCCACTAGTGACCTGGTGAGACACCCACCTGTCAGTTAAAGAGGCCGCGCCCTTAAGCAGGCTATACCTAACTAAAAGCCTTAATCCAATTTAAAGTTTTGACGTCTGTCAAGAGAGTCTGGAAACGGGCCTTATGCGCAGCAGGCATTTTGACTTGTCTAATTATGAAAAGCACGGGTGTTACGAATACAAGTGACAATGGCTGTAGTCTGTGGTTTATTCATTTGATGGTTCAGACTTAATACGTCGTGCTGTTTTTTAAATTCCGTGGCACGGATCACCAAGTGCTAAGCAGAAGAAATCCACTGCTGCACTGACCTTTTAAGGATCAAGATGTTCCACTTTGAGATGTGACGTGAACGTACCTTCTTTGAGTGGTGACACAACGCATTTATTTCCGGAGAGGCCAGGAGTGCATTTATATACATTCTTACCTTAGTTTTGCTGTGATATTTTTTGCCAATAACTTTACAAGCCAAATATATCTGGCAACATCTCAGCGTGACCCGTACGTCTAGTGTTTATCCACAAGAGGGCGCAAGGGGACAAGAGGGCGCAAGAGGACCAGTTATTGTCGTAAGAGTTTGTTGCGACCATCAATTGTCGCTCACTAATTGTATATGTTTATAAATTAAGAACTAACGTTAGTTGGGTCCTTATTCACCCCTCAATAAATTGTACGATGCAACGAGTCATAACAATCTCTCGTTTATGTTCCATTGAAATGTGTGTGTGTGTGTGTGTGTGTGTGTGTGTGTGTGTGTGTGTGTGTGTGTGTGTGTGTGTGTGTGTGTGTATGGTTACAAGCCAACTTCGGGACGCGGTGTATCATGGGATAAAAAAAGCTGCAAGTTCCAGCGTTGGTGAAAAAGGCCGTTTCTCAATACCTAAGACGGCGAGAACGGACTCGCGTTCCCGCGAGAATAGACTCGGGAGACAGACTCGGGAGTCCTGACTCACGGGTACGGGAGAACGGAGAACGGACATTTCCGCAATTGGAACAGCAGCTGACTTGATGACGTCACCACCGTCTTTGTTTACGCACGCAAGTATCTCATCTGCCATCGCAGCTTGCTGAGGTGAAATGCATTCTGGGATATATGTCTCTCACAAGAACAGACAAGCCTGCTTCGATGCATGCCCGGTAAAATGGGCGGGGCGAGTCACATCCGGGTATTATGACCGTTCTCGGCCAGATGCGGACTTGAGAATTGGAACAGTACTAAAGACAAACACAACAGCGAAACTTTCCTTTAATTATCTGCGAAAAGGGTTATTTACCAAATGTTCGTAGTTATTCCATTAGCGAGAGACACCGCGCGCATAGACTGCGGAGTCATCTTGAATAATAGTTCTAAACCTTCGTAGCACGTTAGATAATATCCAAGCTAACGTTAAGTTCCTTTGGGTGCTAACGTTGTCTTACTGAGACGTTGCATATGCTCGGATGATATTACACAACAAACTAAAGCTAAAACATTCTCATGTGTTGTGTTTTCAGCAGGCTTCAGGGGCCTCGCGTGGACCCTTTCTCAGTGCGTGGGAGATGTGGCTGGTGAACAAGGCCAAAGAAGACCGTTTCAAACTGGAAAAACAAGCAGATGAGGCAAAACTCAGTTCACATTTATATCTCTGTATTTCTGCAGCAGTTGTTACTTTTGTTATTTAAATTTCTCGTATTGTGTACATTCAGCCAGGCATAGTTTTTTTTCTCCCTTTTATCAAATACAATGCATTGAAAATATTTTTTCAATATCAACATTCTTATTGCATTTTGTCTGACTCAGTACAACATTTTGTACCCATTTATCAAAAACATTAGGAGCAGTTAAGGAAGGAAAAAAAAAAACAAGAAGAACGGGAGCGGGAACAGAAAAGGATAGTCATGGAAGAGAAGATCCAAGAATGGCTACAGATGAAAATGAAACAGGTAGGCTCTGGCTACTTAAGTCAGTAAAACTGTAAAGTACAGTAATGCTACACTATCAAATGCTGACCTCTCTGTTATTTGGTTTTTCATGCAATTCCAGGAGAAGCAGGAGCACCTCATGAAACTGAGCAAGGAGGAGGAAGAGATACAGAGGCAGCTGGAGAAACAGAGGCAGACTGAACAGAAAGCTCAACAAAAGTACAAAGTCTGGCTGCAGAAGAAGAATCAAGAAAAAATAGAATTATAAAAGAAGGAGAAAGTAATGTTGATTATTTTTTCATCCGGTATTCAGCTTTTAATGAAGCAGAGCAATTCTGATAGATCCAATTACCTTGACAGGAGGCGGCTGCTCTGAAGGAGGCGCAGGAGCGAGAGCGCCACAAGAGGGCAGAGGAGAAGTTTAAGGACTGGCTGGCTAAAACCAACGAAAAGAGCAGGGCAAGTCCCAAATCACCTTGCTACCCAACAGGTAAGGTCTAATATTAACGGGGCGTACTCCATCTTGGTCTAACTCACACCATATAATTGATCAAGTGTGAGCAGTATAAGTATTCAAGGTTCGCCTTAGGGCAAATCAGATGTCATTGTATTCCTTCATTTCATTTGGCCAGCTAATATTTGTTATGTATCAGTATTCTATTGCTTTGATTTCTTCCAGGTCCCTACGACACATCACGCGCATCCCCCAGCTTCTACATCCCAATCCCCTGGAAGCCCATTCACGTCCCTCCTCAGGAAATAACACCAAATAAGACTTCTGCCAAGAAACTCCAGAAACAACAAAAATGCCAACAAAGCCCCAGCACCGCTTTAAGGCTGAGGAACTGTGCCAGCGCAGCACAGAGAAGATGACACGGCAGGCCGAGGTCTGCGACTCACGCGCCGGCTTAGTTACGGATCAAATATGATTTCATCACCAGTCATCCACTCCAAACAAAGCTCCTGAGACGAGACTGCTGAATCACAGAAATGTCTCTGTTCCTTAATATGAATGTGGTAGTTTAGCTGTAATATCTTTATTTTTGTTCCCGATATTTTAGTACACTGGAGCAATGTTGCATTAGCTAAAATTAATTTGTATATAAGGAGGTCTGCATTTTGGGGATAGCATAAATGTTGTTGTGGTTAGACAGGCCTGAAGTTTATTCAGTTTTATCTTGTACATTTGATCAATTTGCTATTTGCATAAAAAAGAGACATTATCAAAAATGTTCCCCTGTTGTGCTCTTCTCATTTGTTCCATCACAAAACCACATGTCATGGCATTTAATCAGTCACAGCCACACAACAGGAAGATGGTGGCTGGTGGTCACAGCCAAAGATAGACGCGGCTCGGTCAAGTGGCCCTCACATGCACACATTGTTCTGTGTCCAGCTGTGCCTTGTTCATCTGTGGGCCGAGATGACGACAGAACGAGTCGGGGGGGTTGGAAAGAGAGAGAGACTGGTTCAGGGCAGTGTGCTCATTCTGTGTTAGCATCGCACTGTGATATCAATGTATGCAGCCTGAGGTAAAATTATTTCTATTACACCTTTATTATCACGGCATTATGAAAGTGTAAACTGTTCTCGAGGGAGGCCTCACTCCTTTGTTCTCGTCCCGGCCGGAAACGAGGACACGAATGAGTCAATTCGTTTAAATTCAAAAATCTAAAAGTATTTAATAACTAAACAATGTTATAAGGAATGCAATTACAAAGTGAAATACTAAGCGAACAGTGGAATATTTTGCGAAATAGAGAATCCTCTGAGCAAGTCTAAAGTGACTTTTCAAGGCGGCTGCAGGTCAGATTCTCCAGTCCTTTCCCCGCTTTGGTCCTTTGAAAACTCTTGAGGTGTGTCTTCCTTGGTGCATTTGAATGTCATTGGCTTCTTCTCCAAAGGGTCACCTCCTGGACTGTCCCCTTCACGTCGAGGTGTGAAGCTGCAGCTGTAACCTGAAACCTCACTGTACTATCTGTCCCTCACATTCCAATGCACTCAATGTAGATACAGTTGGCTTTATGCCTCAATGAGTGAATTTAACAAAGCATGCATCGTTTAAGTCTTCATCTTATAACTAGTACACTTTCATTACAACAACCCATCATTAATGATCACCGTCCATCACACTTCATCATAAGATTTTAAGACAGTTCATGTGGTTCAATTCTCAAGACATTTGCCTCAGTCGGCTGCCTTACATTAAGTTGTTCATTTACTACCTGACAGGAGAAAAAACTCCCCAAAAACCCTCTTTGGGGATAAAATTGGAAGAAATCCATAAAGAACGGCAATTGGCATCCGTCCCCAGGTTTTAACATCACATTGTGACAGAATGTTAATGTGTACAGTGTTTATATGATTTAAATGACTATGAATTGTGTTTGATTGAAATTGCATTCACTTCATCTAACATGTTAATGTAATAACTAATATCTAACATCACACAAACTATAATTCTAACACTAAACATTATTACACGTACTATAATTTCCTGACTAGGGGTGCACTTCTGGCTTAAATCCCTAACAAAACTATGCTCTGTGTGTGTGTCTGTCGTTGTTTCCCTTGTGCTAATGGTCTCTTGAGTGCTGTGGAATGTGTTGGTTGGCAGTGGTCGTCAAGGGGTTAGCGGCGTAGGACTTTAAAAACGTACAAATAACATTATTGGGTCTAAAGGACAGCTGTTAAGACAAATGTGTGTTAACATTCTGTCAGGAGAAGTTAAATTACAGGAGCACTTTAAGCTGTTTGCTCAGGAGTGTTTGCACACGTGAGCAAAACCTGAATTCACAATGAGGTGCAGAACTGTTTAAACTCAACCTCCAGCGCTGTGGCCAACTCCCAACTGTGTAGCTAGAGGTCAAACTAATATAGTAAGTTACAAAGTGGAGCGGCGTTTCTACATTTGTCTAACCCTGCAGGTCCACTTTGGAGCCAGTCACTTTGTCAGTAAATAGCGTTACAGATCATTGAGTTTTAATTCCTGCCTCTTCCAGGTATTGTGCACTAGTACAGAGCCGGAATACAAATTCAAAAATCCATATCCCAAGATGCAGTGGTGCAAGTGGGCCGGCAGTTTGAGATCACACCTATCGAGACAGGTAAGGGGCGTGTCTATCTTTGTAGAGGGCAGAAAGAGTCACAGTACACAAATAAGCAGACGAAGATTGACTACAAGACTTCACGATTATGTCCGATCGTGCGGCGTTGAAATGGAAACAGGCAAAGGATGAAGAAAAACGCTACTTTTTGGATGCTGGTATTACATTCCAGGAAAAAAAGGGATGTGAATCCTCTGCTATGGAATAATTACGTTGATTCTCAACATGTTTTCTGTCAAGTAGAGTTTGTGAATGAGCTTTAAAATGACAGACGGAGCAAAATCTTAGAAAAAAAACTGTTGTTTAACATGGAGATTGTTTTATAATGGCACAACTTTACCTTTGGATCACGCATATTCATCTGGAGCCACCTGAACTGGGAACCCGACTGCATCACTTTCCAAGCCTGCCGTTTCTCTAAACGCTGTCAGTTTTTTATTGACACAACTTAGAAGGAACCAGTTCCATTGCACAGAGGCACAGATGATCCAGGATCTCGTGTTTCTGCTTGTGTGTGTTTTCTGTGTACATATATCCCTGCTCCCACCATGCAGCCCGCGGGGCCCGACATCGAGGACTCTTTCGACTTCCTTTTCAAAATCATCCTGGTTGGAGACTCAGATGTGGGGAAGACCTGCGTGGTCCAGAACTTCAAGTCTGGCATATTCATCGAGAAGCAGCAAAATACCATAGGTGTGGATTTTACTGTTCGCACCCTGGACATTGATGGCAAGAAGGTGAAGGTATGTGACATGCACTCTACTCTTACATTCCACATTCATCTCAGGGATCATTTGATTTAATCATTGCTGCATTTTTGATGTATTAACAAAAGCCTGTTTAGAGGTGTTACTTTTCTTTCTCTTATCTAAAAGTAGATATGATAGATATAAGGGGAGTGGTTGGCTTCTTCTTTCGCATGACATCATCCGTGTGTTAGCCTTCTGGGTGTGTTAAACGTATTTGTTAAGAGTTCTGCACACAAAAACACGTCTGAATGATTTTGCACTCGACACACACTAAGTCACACTGGGCTGAAGTTGTGTTTTGTGTCGTCATTGCAGATGCAGGTGTGGGACACAGCAGGACAGGAGCGTTTCCGCACCATAACTCAAAGCTACTACCGCAGCGCCCACGGGGCCATGGTGGTCTATGACATCACACGCCACAGCACATTCGAATCTGTTCCCCACTGGATCAGGGAGGTGGAGCAGTTTGGAGCTTCCAGCGTGGTGCTGATCCTCATTGGTAAGCAGAGTGACACTAAAATGCTAAATAAATGAGTTAAATGCTTTTGAAAAAATAAGAACAGTCTTGTAATGTTGGTGAATATTAATAAATCCTCGCAGGTAATAAGTCAGACCTTCAGGCTAAGAGGCAGGTGTTGTTCGAGGACGCGTGCACTCTGGCGGAGAACAACGGCGTGCTGGCTGCTCTGGAAACCTCCGCCAAGGAGGCCCAGAACGTGGAGGCAGCCTTCGTCCTCATGGCCCGGGAGCTGCTGGCCCGCAACGGCACGGCCATCGCAGAGGAGGCTCCCCAGAGCTCGCCGCAATTCATGCTGAGTAACAGCTCCCACCCGGTCCATGGCGCCGCGTCTCCAGACACAAAGTGCAGGTGCTGAGTGTGTTGTTGAAGAATTGTTTTAAATGTGGTGTCAGTTGTTTAAGTCTTGGCTGTATATTGTTGCATATTGTGTGTGAGTGTGTGTGGGAAAGTTTTGTACATATTTTGACTTCTAATATTTATACAGTTTGTAGTACTGATAAGAGCTGCTGAATGTGATAGCGACCCCAGCATCACACACAGACCCTCTGCTCGACAACTCTGTACTAAGAAATTACAACAATATACAGAATTTTTCACTTGACAAGTTTTTGTGTATTTTATTTCTGAAGGGGAAATAACCCAGTTGGGTAGACGGCTGTGCAAACCATCAGGTGTTTCTTCAATAGAGCTCTTCTTGCATTCATGCCAATGTCCTCCAGTTTAACTTTGAACTATGTGTCTCATCCACATAGATACTATAATAATATATAATCTAATACTATAATAATCTGATTGTCTTAAAAATGCATGTAACTCAACGCTTAGACTTTAGTGCATTCCAAAAAAAGGGAAGTCAGCGCCACCGGGGGGTGGCGGCGTCCTCGTCGTCCTCGCCGCTGTCCTCGTTCTCCTCGCCGCCGCCAGCATCCTCCTCGCCGCCGGCATATGCAGAAAATTGATCAAATGTACAAGATAAAACAAAATAAACTTCAGGCCTGTCTAACCACAACAACATATATGCACATATACTATAACTACAAAATGCATTTCCTGCTGAAAATGCGTTGGAATGCAAAATGCTGAAAGCTGAAATGAACTTCAGAAAATTGCTGAAATTACAGAAAGTTGAAGGGAATTTGAATACATTTGCTGACATGACAGGTATTTTGAAAAGCTGAAATTAATATGAAATTGCTGAAAATACAGAAATGGGAGAAGCTGAAAGGAATTTCAATAGATTTGCTGAAAAAGCAGAAATGAAAACAGCTGAAATAAATGTGAAATATTGCCAAAAATAATACAGAAATGAATACTAAAACATTGCTGTTAATAGAGGCATAGGAAAAGCAGAAATTATTTTTAAAAACTGCTGAAAATAAAGTGGGGAAGCTGAATTTCAATAGATTTTCTAAAAAATACAAAAGTTGCAGGAGCTTAATTGGATTTTTAAAAGTACAGAAATAACAAAAGCTGAGATGAATAAAAAGAGGTTTAAAATAGTTTGTAGTAATATTAGTACTAGTGGTAGGTTCAGTCAATCAGTTGTGGGCCATCTGTTGCCTACTCTCAAACTATCAGGGACCTCTTGATATCAAAGGGGACAAACCTGTGTGAAGTATTTCCTTTCTTGGGTGAGAGTAATTCTTTTAGGTGTTTGACACTATGTGTAGATATACTGTAAATATAAGTGCTTTGTAATATATTTTTAAATTTGCTACATTTTCTATGCTTTCAATGAACATAGGTTTTAGTATATTTTCATGGTCATTAATAAACAATGTTGTGAAGCATTCTGTAAAAGGTTTTTGCTGAGTAAAATGCATTTACACCTTAACCATTAAAAGAACAAGAATATTTTGCAAACTTGCCTTTTTTTATTTACATATTTGGTAATAGCATTTATGTGAGATGAAGGAAACTAATACAAAACTTTCATAGCAGCTCAAAGCTACAAACAAGGTTGGAAGCAGTTCCTTGCAACTGTAAGACTGTAAAAACTAGAGTGATCACTGCTCCATAAGACAAAGGATATTTACATACAATGCACTCTGACTTAAGTTGTAAATGGAAAAAGTATTTACAACAGGAATAACATGCATCAGATGTACATGGAACTATTTACATTAGAAAATTCTGTCTCAACGTAATAACACATCCATTTAGATGTTGTGATAAAAATAATCCAGTTAATCCAGTCGCATTGAGTTGATGATCTCATCCCTAAATACTCTTTCAACTGTGAAGTCAGTGTGAGTATCTGTCATAAAATCACACCACTGAAGTCCGCTTATGGCCAGCTGGCCTTGAACGTAAAATTTGTGGCTTTTCTTAAGGCAGGCCTGGCCTCAAACTATGATCAGGTGTTTAACTTGAGAAACATCTTCAACATCACAACTCTTTACCTCTGCCAACCCAAATGGTGGTGTTTCTCTGGGGTTGAAGACTTTAGCATCAGGGCTGGCTGCAAGGTGAGGTGCATCAGGGTGGATGACGACCCCACACTGCGTCACAGTGACCTCACATAAATCAGAATATTGCCTCAGTATGTCAGGCTCCAGTTTCAGCCCTCTTTTCATAGCTGCTGTCTGAGGAGTTCCTCTCTTGACACCTTAAGGCTTTCTAAGTGGCATTGTTGCTTGTAGTTAGACTCAAATTGTATGTGATATTTAAAATGATGACCTTCAACGAGGTCAACTGAGGAAATCCAGGGGCACCAGGGTGTTTAATAATGTCTCTACTTATCTCAGGAGGGCACTGGTAAGAGAGCAAAGACCCAAATGGCACAGGGCCAAATTTAGAGTCCACAAAATTAAGGGCCTCAAGCCCGTGGAGCAATTTACTAATGCCTGGTTGTGGGCGTTTGTCTCGCAGTTTCTCAACACTGGCAATGATGTGAGGATCTGGAAGAGGACCTGTCAAAAAAGTGAGATGTCAAGTAAAATTTACATATCATTCTAACCTGACCTTTCATATTGTAGCAGACATCAGCACATATCACCTCTATTAATACAGATGAAAATGTTTTGAGCTGCCCCAAACTCTATATACTAAGATGTTCATAATTTGCAGAAGATATCAACTGAAAGTTTAAAGGGAAAATATACTAATCATTGTTCTGTTATACATTAAAATATTTGGATAGGTGTTCATTCAGACTTACCACCATATGCTCTATACAGTGTACATTTCACACCAGTTCGGGCATGATCCTTGGACTTCGGTACTGGTTTACACACTACCATGTCATTTGTTGCCTCAGGAGCAATTCCCTGAAATGTATTGATGATAAATTATTAATTGACAAAGTCATTACAAAATTCTAGTCCAACATCATTAAATGTAATGAATGTTAACGTATTACATGTGTCCTAGGCCGGTGCCAGGTCTGCAGGGAGCTGGTGCATAACAGTGGCAATGGTACAGTCTTGAAGCCCATGGTACAGTAGTGAGCACTTTGAAACAATAAGGCCACAATGTGGTTGCACAGAGCTTTCCCAGCAAAACAGGAACATGACATGCATTTCAGTACCAAATATTGATTTATAGATATTATAAAACCTTCATAAACTGAATAACAAAAACATTAATAAACAGAGTAAAATTATATTTGTAATATATATATATAGTTCTGTTACAAAATTAAATGTTATTGTCTAAGGTCCAAACGACCCTAAAGACCATGAGTGTCACTATTTGTCACGCCTACATAAAAATAGATAACAATCCATTAAAACATATATTTTTTTGTAGATCTAGAAATTGTTTATTGTTTATTATGAATTTTTACTTGAGCAAAGGTCGTTGATGGGTCCAATGAACCCCGAAGACCAACACAGGGTGTAAGGTTGTCATCTAGATTTTGGCACCACACATTCATTGACATCAGGCTGAAAAACTGAACCACAATGGAACTTTGTGGGATACAGCAACGTTTCTGCAACTGCAGCAGAACATGAAAATCAGAAAAAACCTTAAGGTGATGAGCCTCCTCATTTTTCCTCATGGACCTGTGACAACGCCCTCTCACTGTCACCTCATCGACAACTACATTCAAAACTATTCCAATGCAATGTTTTGGTGAAACGGCACAACATTAACCATGAATGCGTTACTTACTTTTATCTAACGTTAACAATAACCTACACAAAATATAGCTAACATCAGTAATAAACATAACTGCAACAAGAGTTTTTCAGGTCTGTGTTACAGTAAGAATATGGCCTTTCACTGCAGAAGAAAAAGCCAACAACTAACAAGGACACAATTCAAACCTGAAAAACAATAGTTTTATTCATATAGGAATCCATGTATTTATTAGATGATTTATTGGTTCAACTTATCATAATCATGTTCAACCCACAGAGACTGGGCCAAAATATATACTGGTAGGCTATTCGATACATTTGCACTATAGGTTTTCAACAGCAGAGGTCACCATAGAGTTTGCGATGCATTCAATGAATGAACCTTTTTCCGATACAATTGGCTGGAAAGCTTCACTGGTTCAGAAAGCTTCACTTTGCCATCACTACTATTCTCGTATCAGAAGCTCTAGTCTTATTCGTTTCCTCCTGATAACAGCATCCAATCAAAGAACCTTTTATTAAGTTGTCCTTGCGTTCCCGCGAGAATAGACTCGGGAGACGAGATTCCAACGTAACGGATACAGGAGCACGGTCATTTCCGCATCCGGAACAGCAGCTGACGTAATGACTTGCTCCTGCTAATGTATTTTAATACATTTCTTGAGTGTTAAGTATTTTTCAATCAAGCTTTTTTTTTCGTTTTCATTTTAAATAAAATAATTGTATATCAGAAGTCAAATACCTAGGCAAAAAAATCTCAATGGATCAGATCAGAGTTCTTTTACAGTCAAAGATCTTTCTAAAGCAGATGAATAGGAGCAGCTGTTTGCTGTGCTGCTGAACTTTACTGGATCACACTGACAGGTGTACATCTAATTTGTATTCATATTGGATGGAAGAAACACATAAAACGTTTCTGAGGTGAACATTTAATTCAGAGCTGTGGTTACATAACACTGCATTAGCTTTATAATGGTTTCCTCTTCATAAGATTGGTTGGATACAGTAACAATTAATAGTTAATATTTAGGTTATGTCAATATTATATATTTTATAAGTTAATATTTTATTGTATAGGACTACATTCCAAATACACACGAACCGTTTGTCTTCCTGTTTCTCAAACATCAAGAGGCTGATAATCAGTGTGGTGGTCCTCGTCCAGGTTAAATGCACAAAAATTACTATGAATTAAATTGAAGATGTCCCTGAACCTCTTCTGTGTCTCTCTATTAATAGTGATTAACCTCATAGTATTTCATGTACATAATAGTGAGCAATGAGGCTACATACCTTAAGAGGAGCATAGCATAGCATTTAATATCAGGAATCAGGAATATCTATGAAACAGTGATCATAGAGGCTAAAAGGACACTCATTTATTATTCTGTATGTATTATAAATTGAACACAACACTATACATATAACACTTTTCCTAATTTAAAACAATAGAACAATGAAATGTATTTCAGGGAAATAAACTTTGCAATTAAAAGTGCAGAAACAACATGGACAA